CCTTTATCCTTAAGATGCAGATGGACTGCTGAGTCTTGTCCTGTGGAGGTGGCTCTTCTGTGTTGTGCCATGCGCTTGTGAAGTGGCTGTTTGGCAACTTAAAGAAGTCCAGACGCTTTTCTTTGCAAGCTCCTTTGACTACGATGACCTGGATGACTGAGAACCTTCACAGACTTAGTAATAATAGGAAAACAAACTGAGGCCAAATGATGATCATTTTATCTTCTGGTCTGAGACGTAGGTCATTGTTGGCATAATAACAGCAATAAAAAACTTCCTCTGGAAATTTTCAGGCACAAGGATTGAAAAGCAGCCAATGTCTAAAGTAAAACTTTGAAAGTCTTGAAAAGTGACTCAAGATTATCGCACAACACTGCACAAGCATGCACTGTTTTCAAAATGTTTGGCACAACAATATTACTCTTAAACAAAATTCCTAATATAATTTATGTTTTCTTTATGACAATTCCATGATGACAAATTGTCAAGTCACCAAGCACGTGTTAGACAAAAATTCCTGCCCAGCAGCTCTCTTAAGTTTGCTTACATGCCACATTAATGAGTGGAGGCTTCAATTTCCTTTTCATTGTAGATGCATGTATCTGTACACATTACACAACACAGATGCACCGCAACACTGTTCTGTATGTGATGTCTATTACCTGTCCAGATCACGCATATTCCTCTCAGTCTGTTCTTCTACTTCAGAGAAGAGCTGATGGGTCTTTCTGACTTTTTCCTGTAGCTGGATCCCTTCCACGGAGAGACTCTGTAAGCTATCTGGACCTGTAATAGAGGCCAAGACATGCACGTCCTCCAACAAGCTCTCTGCCTGCTCATCCTGGGACTGGAGCTGCTGACACAACTCCTGCAACAGATAAAAGACAATGCTAATTTGATATTATCTTGTATCTATTGGTGTGTTTTATGTGTTTTCATTATTTCATATGTCTTATTTAAGCCCTTACCTTAAGTTTTGCAAGCACGTCTGCAACATCAGGACCACAAAGAGTAAGGAGGGAGTTTTCAATCTTCTGCAGGGAGTTGAAACACTCTTCCATCCTCCCAGTGATTTGCCCTTTAGTAATCACCATCTGCTTGTAAACATCCTCAGCTTCAGAAACGAGCTCCTTCAACTGCTCTATCTTCTCCCTCATCTGGGTTCCTACCACCTTGACAAATCAAAATGAATCATAAGAACTGATGAGCAAAAAACCCTTTGTAATAGTGAAAATGACTAAACAACTGAAAATGTAAACTAGATTCAAGCAGGAAATAAGTTCACAATTTCAAACAAAACTTGGGACATATTTTATTCAAAGTAGATCATATGAAAACATAGAAAACACATCAAATGTTTAACTCTTTCCTGCCTGGATGCCTACTGGGGGGTAACCCTTGTTTCTCTTTGTGAAACTGAGAGTTTTCTGTCATATTTCAGGCCTGCCTCCACAGTAAAGAGACTGGGTGTGCATCAGAGATTAGTGAGGGTTACCTCTGTCTATACAACTTTCTAAGGCTACGCTTGGAAAAATCAGGTCTTATTCTAATGGTCATCAAATCACATCTGAAAAAAAGTTGTGACAGGGCCATGTTCACCATTGTGTAGGATCCCCTCTTCTTTAACTTTTCCAACCTTCTTTTGCCCCATCACAGCTTCTTTTTAGATGTGTTCCTTATTTAAACATTTGATGTGTTTTCTTTGTGTGAAAAAAGATAAGGTGTTGCATTTTGTCTACATTTTACACAGTCAAATATTTCTGGGAGTGAAACAAAAAACCAAAACTACTGTGTTTGTCTTTATTTCTGTCTAAATCAAGAAAATAACACCAGAGGAACAATGCCTACCTGAAGCTCCGGAGGGGACTCTGCGCTCTGAAGCAGTGTCTGAATCTCAGTGGCTCTACGGTGGAAATGCTGTATACTTTCCTCTTGAAGCACAATCTCATTCTGGTAACAGTGCGAGTGAGGTAAACATTATTATAGTTTAACTTTGAGATCATAACATACCTGAATGATACACAAGAGCTCCGTTTTACCTGTAGTGCCTTGATGTCATCCTCACACTGAAAGGACGGGCACTGAGCAAACACAGCTACTTTATCGCTGGTCCAGCGCTCCACTTCTGACCCCTGCTGAAGGACCCCGTCCCACAGAGTCAAGGCTAGATGTAGGTTTTCAAGGCAGGACTCTGTTCTTTCTGATAACTGCAAATAAGTTAAATATCAGCAAAGTTAACAACCTACACCTACAATAATATGCATCTTTATCTATCTCATTTAAGATCAGCAACATTCAAAATAATAGGAAATTGGGTGTAGTCAGGTTAATGCCAATGTAATAATCTGTAAACCTAACAACAAAGAAGTCAGCTGAAAAAATATATTATTACAAAAACCTATTATTTCAATTACAATGTCAAATAATCAAGCACAAAGGTTAAACAAGCGCTTTTATGTTTTGCTGTAGCTTTGCTATTTTTTATCTTGTTAGAAACAGCTGCCCTCTCATTTCTGAAAAGTGATCATTTTGCACCAGGTTCTGCCTCTTAGTATCCTTTTTTCCCTTAGATTGCTTTTACAGTTACATCCTCACATCACCAGCTCTTCTTGGAGAATGCAACAGATTGAATGTGATATCACTGGAGTTAAAAAATAACTTTCATATCACAAAAAGAATAAGTCAAACCTCCAAAGTTATGGAAAATAAATCTTTTTAAAACAAAACATGCAAAAAAAAAGACAAAACAAATTTTTTTTTAAAAGACAAAGTTAACAGTGTAAAGTGGATAAGCTTACATCCAGCCAGTGATCCATGACAGCATCAGCTTCGCTCTCAAATGGGATGCATGTGCATTCTGGTATCTGCCGTAGGTGAGTGTGAAGCTGTCTGCAGACACTGCGGACCTCCTCTATACCATCTCCAAGGCTGTTCAGCTCTGCTTTTGTTTCCTGGACCTTTAAAACCACAGACACACAAAAATATGGATTATGCCTAAATGATAAGTTTTCAGCACAAAGAGAAAAGTCAATGCTGTGATATCATTGTGTTCATTAGTCAAGCTTAACAGTGTGACTTACCTTAGTGTGTAGTCTCTGCAGTTTTTCTTTCCCCATATAGGAGTTTTTTTCACTCACAGCGCTTTCTGCTCGCTGCAGTGTCGCGCTCAGCTTACCACGAATGCTCTGAAACCTCTTCAGCAGCTCTGTTAGGACACCACACTGCTCCAGTCTGTATGTGACCCATAACACAACACAGAAAAGCTCAGCAGAGTAACACAACTACGAAAGAGCTGCAGAAACAATCAAAGTTACAAACGTTAATAACCACACACTACGCTGGATTTTACTTTTGAGTTACAGCTTTTGTTGCCTCCTCCCAGAGATCCTCCACCTCTCTGTTTTGACTCTCATCAGGGATTTCTGACCGTGACGATGCACCTTGTACGTACTGCACTTCAGAGAGGAGGTCAGTGAGGTGACTTTCCAACTCTGTCAAGGTACGTGTCCTGCAGATAACAAAACAGGATATGGAGAGAAGAAGCTACTGACATTCTGAAAGAATTTAGGAGTTATTATTGTATGGAGCCTCCAGCTACTTATAGAAATAGCAAAAGCTGACCTTTGTATAAAAGTTAGTCAATATTAATCTGCCCATTAATGTACCATAAAATCTGATATTATTATAACTTAGAGATTATTGGAAACCTTTGGGATGATATGTTTGTTTTGATGAGTGTTTAGATGTTTTTCTGGTAGTGTGGATTATGTTGGATATTTTTGATACTCCACTTAAATGAAAGAAAATAAAAGTACGTTGTTGTACCAGCTCGGTGTTGTACCTGTGTTGCAGAGCAGGCAGAGTGGGCTCCTGCAGGCTCAGCTGCTCAGCTGCCTTCTTCGTCTCCCTCAGTGTTGCTAACAGGTTTGCTCTCCTCCGAACCAAATTCTCCATTTTTTCTCCTTCTTTCTTAACCTGGGTGGTTCTTCCCATTTGTCTCTGGTCTTTAGTTTCTAGGAGATCTTCTCGAGGTCTCCATGCTTGAGTCTTGTGCTCTTCCTCCACTTGAGTCTTTCCTTCCAGCTTACGCCTTTTGGCCTCCAAACCTGACTCCTCATCTGGCTCACTTGAAGTGGGATCTTCTTGCATGTCCTGTTGCTGTAGGGAAGTATTACCAGACTTTGTCTGACATGTCTCCACAGTTTTAGATTTCTCGTCGTCCTGTATGTTCCGTTTTTCTGGGAGAATTATGGCTTTTGCTCCCCATTTTTCCATCTCCACAACATGTACTGTGATGCATTTCACCACATCCTGACATGTTGCAAGTGCACCATCCATGGTCAGACTAATCCCCACTGCCTTTAAATTACTGTCCACAGAATCAGATTGCTCAGTAGCAGCCTGCAACCTCTGCATTGTTGCATCCAATGAAGGTTTCTCCTGCTCCCAGTCTGCCTCGTGTTTCTGCTTGCTCAGGTCTTGGTTTGCCAGCACAGTTTGGATCTCAGCCTCGACTTCTCTCACTGTGGTCAGGAAGCGATCCAGAGCACAAACAGCTGACTGAACTTTCTCCAGTTGCTGTCTGAGCTGCTTGAAATGATGGATGCTACTGTGGAGGCCCCTGCAGAGGGATGAGGCGGATGTGGCTTCTGGCCCCTGACTTTCCTCTTTGGTGCTTTTTTCTGTTAGCATCCTCATTCCAGCCTGCAGCCTGTTGTCCATCTCCTATTCAAGAGACCAGGGATTCAAAATAATATTATACTCTTCATATCATAAGCGCTAATTGTTTGAACACATGGTTTTAAACCTATACCTTTAACTCATGTAATATTGTTGAATCAGCCAAAGTCAGAGAAGAGATATCCACAGGCTGTCCGGTGATCTGGTTCAGTTGTTGTGTGATCAGCGTCTTCTGGTCATCTGCAGACTTCATCAGGTCAGCAATGTTCTCCAGAGATGCCATTCTGACCCAAACACAAAGCAGAAGCAAAACTGAAACATTTTGCCCTTTGTGAAATAGTCCAAGGAATTTGTGATAGTGGTTGTGGTACTGGGTAGTATAGCCACTGTGTTTGCACTAACTTGCCATTAGGGCTACCTTAAGAACGTTGTGTCAAACATGCTAATACTGCTGTAAATCTGTTAGCATTTAACAGTCTTTCAACAAGAACGCTGTAAACACTGAACAAACTAAACTAAATGGAGCAACTTATCACTAACTGCATACTTCCACAGACAAACCATATGTCCCACAGACCATATGTCAGTTCATGCAGCCTAGTAGAGTGCATGCACATATAAACACATGCATATAATATCTGTTTTCATGTAGTAGTCGCTTTATATCTCTTTAGCTTCAACATTAACACCCGATTTCTACATATGCTCTGTGTTGTTACTGTAAAATAAACTTAAAGTAAGTCTTTAAATGGGCAAGGAAGTAGCTACTTTAATTTAAAATTGTCTAATATTTGCAAGGAAAGCACTAACTGTATGAAACACAGATTAAAATTGCTAATTTTTTTATTTAAGAGGGTAGCTGCACCTGGTCTGTAGGCACACTTGTTGTTCTCTCCACTGCTGAGTCAGATGCCCCTGCTCTTGTTCCACTTCACTCCAACCCTCCTCCCTGGTCATCGGCTGGGCAAACTGGGAAAACTGGGTATACTGGGTATACTGGAGCTCAACATCAAACCAAAGTGCTTCTGTCTCTTTTTTCAAGGTCTGTTGAGGTGAAACATGTTTATGAAACAATCACAGCAATAATATTTTAAGCCAAAAGTTAGAGCTTACAAACAAATTCATGCTTAACAATTGTAAAAACATTCTAGTATGTAGAAGACCACAGTTAAGACATAATAATGAACACATATGTAAGAGTAGGACTTTAAAATGAGAATTCTGGTAAAAGTAAGTGCTCAAACTTGCCTGTAGATGCTTCTTTTGGTTCTGCAGGGCAAGGATAGAGACTGGATCTGGGATAAATGACTCCAAAAGTAGCTTGTTCTCCTGAAGCTGAGATTTAAATGCTGAGCAAAGCTTTCTATAACTTGAGAGAGATTTACACATTGTTTCATTACTAAAATTTCTGAGACTGACTGGGAAGCAAATATGATGCAAAATCAGTGACGTCTAGTAAATCTTACTAGCATATTAGTATTTTACAAGCTGTTAGTTCTAAAAACAACACCAATGTGTAATGAAGTGGGATAGTGACGCATACCTCTCCTGCACTTCCTGTTCAGAGGGATGTTCTTTTTGAGATGGAGCAGCTGGCTCTGGGATGATGGTCCACTGTGCTTCCTGCTTGGTCTCCACTGTGTTGCTCCTAACAACTGCCTGCGAGGTGAGAGAGTTGCATAGTAACAGTCCAGTAAAGAAAAGAGGAAAAGATGGAGCAGTGAGCCTATCCAATTACCAAGGATTAGCACTCTGCAGCCGGTGCTTTTCCTTGTCCAGCCAATAAAACTGCTGAATTGGTTTCTGACTAGGAAGGTTTCTTTAAATGAACAAAGTAAATGACATTTAATAGAATTATTAACGTTTTACCTCTGTAGTCTGCTGCATTTTTTTGTACTGTCAGATATTCAAATATTAATGTCTGTAAGCTCTTCCAGAATGAAACTGTTCATTTATAGTGCCTACTGTAATTTAGAGCAATTTTGTGACTGTAAAATATAAGTATGTAATCTAGGTTCATAGTCCTGGAGCTGGGATTGGTATACAATAGATTTTCTAATACAGTACTATTAGCTGCATAAACATTTTGTCATTATGAAATATAGCATTATATACAAAGATTCTCTTTCTTGGTGTTTTCAAATTATGAAAATCATGGAGAAAAAAATACACCAGCTGAGTCTGAGTCATGGTGGCACACTGCTAGCACTGTCCACATTCAAAAACACTGGACACCACATCACAGTTTCTTCTTAGTCAGAGTCTGGACAAAGCACAGAATGACTGGAATACCCATCCATCCTTTTTCTCTTGCTGTTCTGGATCATGTTCATGTACTATGGCTTTTTCTTTAATTCTTTGTATAACAGAGTCCCAAATTTGGGAGGTTTGTGGTTGTAAATCGTGTAGAATATTAGAATTAGTTATAAAATCGCAATTTAAAGCTAGCGGCTGATCAAATAAAAGGAGATAGTCATCATTTAAAATACAGTCTTGCTATTGCTATGACAAAAGATATCTGTACACAAAAAGTGGTCATAGATTTGCAGTGTTGTTTCATTCCTGCTGTCTAATCCATAGACCCACCACCAAGTCTGGCCAATTTTCACATCTTTCAGTTCAGATTCCACTCTGATTGGCATCCTAAACAAAACTTTTGAATAAATATTTTAATAACAAATCTAATTTGCTTGCAATTCAACATTTATCTTTGTGTTCCTAGATTTAATTTTTGAATTTAAATATCTTGACTTGATTGCATAAAAAAACAATAACTCCATATTACTAGTTTTATTCTCAGAGCTCACAAAGTACCAAAACATAGAATTGAGAAACTGAAGAAAAACAAAATTGAAGCAGATCAGTGATGTAATCTGAGCATACCTGTGCATGAGTTTGGATTTGCTGACTGCTCTCTGCGTAGTGCAGTAGACGGGCTTTCAGCAGCTGCTCTTTGGCTCGAAGTGAAGGCTTTGGATTTTGTTCTGACCTGCCGTCTCTGTTTTTTGTCAGGTGGACCTCACTCTCTGTTGGGACTTCCTGAACTTTCAGTTTGAGGATATCACCATGAGGCTGCACTGACACAACATGAGAAACGGGCGCGAGGTCTTCATGTGGGCTGTCATCGCTTTGTTTCTGTGGGAGATTGTTGCTCGGCTGTGTGTTGGCCGACACGTCAGTCGCGCTCAGTGGGGCGTCTCCCCCAGGCTGCCGTCCCCTGCTGAGATAAGAAATGTTTATCGGGGGGGATGTCAGGGGCAGCCAGTTCGAACCGCTCATTCAAACAGACATCTGATTAAGATTAAGATTACAGAGTGACAATTGTAAATAAGAAACGGTCTTCTTCAAGTAAATCACTTTGAATTCAAGTCACAATTCTAATAACTTGAAAAATGATTTAAGGGTAAGTTCAACAAGATTCTAATCAAGTTCTGTCTAATTTAGGCAAATAGAGTTTTCACAATCTAAATTAGACCTTCTTCCTGCAATTTTAACTTCCTTTTGAGTCTGAGCTTCCTTTGTGAAACCCAGAGGAATTTCATCAGTGTTGCCCATGTCTAACTTTCAGCAAACTTACAAAGAAAACTACCGAGCCGATAGGCATGAACATTGTTGGAGAAATGGCGCCACTTTCTTTGAAACTGCAAAATAGGGCCTCGCCTTTGTAGTTTTCAAATCAAACAGAGCATCAAACTGAAAATTATTTCTAGATGTAGGAAATAAAAGTCTGACAATAATGATTAAAACAGTTTCCATTAAAGAAAAAGGCAAATCTACCAAAAGGTCACACTGAAGAACATTTCTGATTTCTTTCTTAATGTTAGCGTTTTCAGACCTGTTAGGTGGGACTGCAGCATCCCTGGGTTGTGTTTCCTCTACTTCATCTGACTCGCTCAGCTGGTCTGTAGCGAGGCAGGAGGATTTCTTTGGCGTCAGTGTTTCGCACAGCTCTCTGAGGGATTCAACACGTTCCTCAATAGATGCGGCTCCCTCAGTGACAGCCTGGGAGAAATATGAGCTCCTGAGAAGCTGAAGGCAAATCTTTCTTTCTACAGTAATTTGACCATCTGCCAGGCAGTTACAAACACAGCACAGTCCCATGTTAATACTATGTTAGAGACAAGTACCTGCTGCTGCTGCAAAGAATCATCGTCAGTCTGGTCAGTGTGGACAGTGTTAGTATGCGTTTCACACTGCACGACAGAAAATGACTGCTTCCCTTCTCTGATCTTTGACCACAAGATCAGAATAAAAGCAGCCATTTCTCTGCGTGCATCCTGTGCATGACAAAAGCAAGCAGAAAAAATTTTAACCAACGTTTTTAGGAAAAAAATAGAAAATATCAAGTTTATCGGATTAATTTGTGAAGACGCTCACACACAAAAAGATTCTTGAAAAGTCCAAAACAAATCCTGTATGACTGGATCGTATTTGACCTATTATTACGTGTTATTTTCCACTATATAAAAACATTCCCTGTTTTATGCCTATGACCAAAAAGCAAAGCAAAAGAATATCACAGAATGACTTCATTATAACTGAGATGTAGTCTGTTTCTTTTAACACTAGAATAAATATAATCCCCTTTTAGGTAGTGATACTGGTTATAATGCAAAGTAAGAAAGATCTACATGTGCTTGTGAATGATTTAGGTATTTGGTTCAGGTCTTTACATTCGATTTAACTCTGAATAAAAATGACTGGATCAGTCAGTCAATTACAGACTATGTGTGCAGTTCCTGTCATACCTCCCACTGATTTCTCACTGAGTCAGAGAGGAGCATCAAGTCCTGGAGCTGGGATCCAGAGCAGAAAGCCCCAAAACCTTCCACTGCACAAAGGAACTCTTCCAGCATGGCAGGCTGCAGAATTTTTAAAGCTTTCTGCACAGAAAGACATATAGCTGTAAAGAGATGCACAAATGATACTGGTAGCAACACAAATCAAAATACCAGAGACCTTGAAAGAAAGTGTTTGAATTATGAATATTCAGGCACGTTTCAAGGCCTTGGTGTTTCAGCACTGAAAGCATCTAAATTATATTAAAGCCTCTGTTTTAAACATTTAATAAGCAACAATTGGGTGGATTTCTGCCTTTAAACTCACCTTGAAATGTTGTCAAAGTAATAAATCGAGAAAATAATAGGCAAATCAGCTGTGTGATCACTAGTAATTCAATTACATTTGTTGATTTGAGTCAAAAAACTGAAGTGACAGTTGAAAACATCTGTTAAAGATAGTGACGGCCTTCTTAATTTGTTCTGTGATGTTTGGTAGCGTACCTGTTTCTTCTTGGCTTCCGACTCTGAAATCTCTTTGCCACCAAATAACTTCGTCGCTTGCTGGATGCGTCCCTGCAGACGAAACCGGGCCTTCTCCAGCCTGCTTCTCGCCATTGACTGGGCTCTTGAATGGACTTCCCTGTGGACCATAACTGGTGGTTGTGGAGGTTTACTGCTCTGTATAGAGCTCGGTCCTGTGTTCTTGTGCTTGGTTTGAAATTGGCAAGGTAAACTTCCTCCATATTTAGGGGGAACTGGACTCTCTGAAAACTTTCCCTTAATAGGAGTTTGAGTCGTAGCAGGTAGCGGCTGATCATTTTCACTGAAACTTGAAGCTAGGGGATGTGATTTAGAAAATGACTGTGGCTGGATCAAAAGCTCAGATTCAGCTTCTTTTGCAGATTGAAGAAAATGAGATTGAATATAAGTTACAGGTGGGAAACTGGTGACTATTTTGGGTGTAATAATATCTCTTTCATCATGTAATTTTCCCTGGAGATCTCTTGTCCTTTGTTGAGGAGTGGAAGCTGAAAGCTGATTTGAGTGCTGAGATTGGAGCATGATGTTCCCAATGTTCTCTACATGTTTGCTTCTGGCCACAACTAATAACCCCATCTCAGGCTGTTTCTTTGTCTGAAAGATTGTTTCAACAGCTGGTTGATTCTTAGGAAATTCACCAACTTCCTGCTTATACCCAAGAGAACTAAACATCCCCAGAATGTCCTAAAAAATGCAAAGCATACAAATGAATAAGAGGGACTATTATGGGACTGAAAAAAAGTTATTACATCTATTGTTTTACTTTACCTGGCAGTAGGAGACTGCTTCTGTGACCCTGTCCTTCAGGCTAGAGGTGCTGAGGTGCTGCAGAGGAGAGGTTTTCTGTAGTATTGCAACAAGGCCCTGAAGATCCTGTTCCTCGGTTTTAGCCTGGTTTGCCAGCTGGAAGCCTCGAGAGATTAGCCCCTGGAAGTGTTAAAGTGTGTATTGAATTTAACAGCTTCATATATGCTTTATATTTTCCCTCTCTAACAAAACGCCTAATTAGAAACAACATGAAGCTTTGGTTTGCTGACTTTTGCTGTAGGCTCCATTGTAGGGTGTCCTCTGTGACTTTTTTCCTTTAGGTGATTGTAACAGTCCATCGCATCAGTGCTCCAACGATCCAGCTCAGCCAGACCACCTTCCAGCCTGGATGCAGCCTGCTGCAGCTCCCCACAGGCCCCCTCTGCTTCAACAAGCATCTACAGTACAAATAAACAGTCAGACTGTTCTTTGTTTGCTATAATTCAACATAGGAGAACTGGACTCTAGTAAATTTGCACAATGTTTGCCTGTGCGCTGATTTAATATTCTAGGAATATTAAAGAGAATTTCCCTGCATCTCAGTGAGCATCCTACCTGTGGGAGAGTTTTCTGGATCTTTTCAAAGTAGCTTGTTTGAAAGTCGGGAGAAGAGCTAAGAGATGACACGTTCACTTCTGCCATCTTTTTACTCAGTAACTGAAATATTATAAAGTATGAGACAGTAGCTCAAATAACAAAAAGATTTGTTTGTTTATTTATTATTTACTGATCAATTCAGCCTTTTGAAATTTTACTAACCTGTAATTTCTGTCTGATAGCCTTTAGTGGCACTGAGGCCACCTCAAGTGGCTGTCTGAGGAGCAAGCTGGCCTCCTGGGTCATTGAATGCACCATTTGAAGACATGATGCACCAGTACAGGGCTCTGATGATACCTCCTAAAAGACAAAATCTTTATGTCTAACACGCTCCTTTATTTTTAATGTCTCCTTATGTCAAATACAAAATAACAAACAGAACTAGACCTGCATAAAAGACATATTGTTAATAGATGAATACTTACAAACATAGCCTTCTTCATGTATTCAGCCCACTGAATGTTGACTTTGCTCAACTGTTCGACCAGACTGAGACTGATTGACATTTCCGTCACTTCTATGAGATAGTTCCCTGCCTCATTTAATTGAGCTTGACGTGAAGTCCACTCACTAACATCCTACAGTATCCAAGTATTTTAAAAAGCAAAGAAAAACCAGCAACAATGAGGATATTTTGAAATCATTTTTCGATGATGATAGGAGAAGAAAGGAGATTTTTAAGTTACACAACAGTTACTACAGGACAAACAGGGTAAAGTTACCTGTGTTGCAGCTGGGGACTGAATTCGTTTCTCCTGCGCCAGCCACGCCTGTAGAGAAGCAAGGTTTTTGTTGTACGTCTCCCATGCACACAAAACTCTCTCCATGGTACCCCTAGTAGCAGTCACAGCCTGTTTGACCATTTCAACTTCACTCTCTGCTTCCTTCACCTGACGAGTAACAAGCTGGAAATTTTCGCCTGGGGTGTGAAAAGTGTGTGAAAGTCAAATCTCGTCTTAAAAAAAACCTAATTACTTGATTACATTTCTATTGAGTTCATGACAATATGATTTTATGTTTACTCCATACTTAGCGCTGCTTTGCTGGTATAAACATTCGCCTTCTCCTTCAGGGTGTGCAGAGCGCTTGTCAGAGTGAAAAGCAGGTCTTGATGCTCAATTGTTTCCTAGAAAACAAATCACAGAAAATAATAATTTTTTGTTTCCTTTTTGTCTTTCAGGAAGAATTTGATCCCAAATGACTCACTGGATATATCCTATTTAAATTGTAAGGGCCTGGCCTTGAAGTAACATGTAATAGAATATATGCCATTCACTGTTAGTCATCATTGGAATTAGTAATAGAAGCTTTTACATATTACTCTCTCAGATATACACTCACATGCCAGTCCTGCAGAAGAACATGTGTGGTCTCCTGAGACCTGTAGGGTGTTTTCCAGGACTGGACCTTGGCACCGATCTGGCTCAGGAGGTCCAGGATGGTGTGACGGGACTCCTGGTATTCCAACTTGATCCCTCGATACTTGGTTGAGACCCGAATGCTGGTTAAACTGTTTGAAAATTAAGATGCAAACAAACTGCTTTTTTCTTTTCAAACACAAGACTTGGAGATTTGTGCCTTTAAACCTGCATATAGTGATAAAAAAAAATCATAATACATTCACTAATTATAGGATTTTAACAATTGGGTCACATACCGTTTTCTTATCTCATCAAACTTTTCAAGGGGGACCACTATGTTCCCCGAGTCGTCCATGTTGTGATAAGTCTCAAGAATATTGACATAATGGCCCATTTCTTTATTTATATTCTGAAAAGTGAAAAAACACAGTAAACAAGATTTTTAAGCTTTAATCTAAATAATGTTGCTCTTCAGAGTTTCAGGACACTGTTATCAAGTTTTGTCACAAGATCACATTTCTTTCTTTGTATGTAGCTTCAACACAAATGAACCTTTAGGCTATCCTGCTGAGCTCTTGCTTCTTTAGCGGCATCTGAATGGTCTTTCACTTTCCCTGCGTCTTCTGCAAGCCCTGCCTCTGCACGCTGCAGCCATGCAACAACAGAGTCCAGAGGAGGAGGAAGATTCAGGTCCAAGTCTGCTTTACACCTCTGCAGCTGCAGAACGACACACATATACAAACAACTTGATATGAGCAATCTGCTTCACTAAAACGAGCAGTTTTCTATACTGACGACTTTCCGTAAATATTAAAATAATGTGGCGTTATTGTTACGTGACTCTTCACTGTTCCTGTTAATGCTACAGTGTAAAATCACTGACAGTTGTTGTTTGATGGAAAGAGATGTTATACCATGAGTGAGTTCATGTGCGGGGTTATTGACCCCGTGAAGCACAATGTAGTACAGCAAAACTGTTCAATAAAAAGCCCCTTTCTGCTTGGCTCAACCTCTGTTGTAAAGATTCCTCAGCTCATCACAATATTTTAAAATAATGTCCCCACAAATGTCCCCAACAGCGTAACAAAAAAAATACCAAGGTTAAAAACTAAAACCCTGAATGTAACCTTGCTTCTTATTATGCAAAAATACATTTCCTGACCTCTTCCTCCAGTTGATCCCACGCTGTCCTGAGAAAACACTGCTGCTGACTCAGCTCAGGGCGGCGTCTTAGGGCAGCCAGGAGGGTCATCACTGGTCTCCGTTGCTCAGTGAAGGAGCCAGCGAGGCTCTGAAGCACCTGATAAATCAAACATGATAACTCCTTAACCTTACAACCTACACACGCTGAACATGTAATTTAATCCTTAATACTGCATTACCTGATATTTTTCAGCATAACTTGAGTTCTCTGCAGCCTTCCATGAATCTGACAGTTCCTGATTGGCTTGTTCCAGCCAGCATGTCACTTGCTGTGCTCGTTCACTTGGAGAAACCTAAATTTTCATAACCAAAGCTGTCAGTAACGACCATTGCAGTGTTAGAATAAGTTGTCAGGGCCACGCGATCAAGCAGTTCATGCCATTACACGAGAGTTAGACAGTTATGAACATTAATAAGTACCATTATTTAATAGAGAAAAGAAAGACTTCCGTAACAAAAGTGACAGAGTGTTAAAGGATTCATTGTGTACCTCGTGTACTGGTGAGACAGCAATTGCTGGAGTAAAGTGTGCAGGCAGAGTCTCAGGTGAGCAAAAGGAGGGCTGGGCCAAAGGAAACAGCTATAGCACCACCACCAGATCAAACCATGAAAAACAGAATTGAAAGGAGGAGGAGGACAGAAAGATGGTTGACCACCCTTACATTCATGAAGGTTCTTGTAGAAGACCAAAAGACAGCAGGATGTGCTGAAAAAATGAGAAATGTGATCTCATCGCTAACCTGGAGGTGGTCATCAGGTGCTGGCATGTCGCTGGAGTATTGCAGAAATTGGGCCACATAGGTCATGATAGACTTTTCATCAGGACTGCTAACATCAACATCTGAGGTGAAAGGCAATGAGAACAATTTGATTCAAAATTCTCCCATTAGTTTGCTTTTGTTTTCTTTTTTGTATAATACTCAAGTTTTCAAGTTTGCCTATTAGAGAATC